AGCGCCACTTGCTTACGTGTAAAAGGCTTAGTGATTCCTTGCTGGCAATCTACATTCGAGAGGGGCTAGGCATCCACCCAGTCACAGCGCATCCAAAGTATGGAGACCCCCCACACCCCACCCGCAGTCTTCCATGTTCCCACCTGTGCTCGCTCCCTCTAACACACACTGAGGAGGTGCCCAGGATTCCGCTATGAGCAAACCAGAGAATGGGAGCTGCCACATCTGTGGGAGGAACTGGAGCTAAACCAGGAGCAATCAAGAATCTCTAAGCGGTGTAAGTTGTGGAGGAGAGAAGGAGAGAGCAAAGCCTTAGCCACATGCAGACCCGCACTCTAATCCCATCTCACGGCCTCCTGGCTGCAGCTCTTAGGAGAGCCTTTTGATGATACGATTCTCAAATGTTCAAAGAGACCCACACTGGCCATTCTTCCATTCACTGAACAAATATTTATGAAGTTGTAACCCGTGTCTGAATGCACTGCTCTGAATGCTACAAAGCTCACAATGAACAAAACAGGCAAAAAAAAAATTCTTGCTCTTGGAAATTTAAATTCTAGAGAAGAGAAATAGACATTAAACAGTACGGTCTTCCCTTGGTAACCACGGGGGACTGGTTCTAGAATTCTTAATATAGAAATCCTCTGGTGAGCAAGCCCTTATGTAAAATGGCCTGTGTGTGTATAACCTACATGTGCTTTAAGTCATCTCTAGATTAATTACACAGATTAATGAAAAGACCTAATAACAATAAGTAATTACTACACTGTTTAGGGAATAATGACAAGAAAAACATAAGGCTTCTGGGAGGCCTGCCCTTTTCCAAATGGATATGGGGGAGGATTGGGGGTGGGAGGATAGGGAGGTGGGGAAGATGGGGGGAACAAGAGAAGAAGGGAGGGGGATCAGTATGTAAAATAAATGAAAAAATGTTATTTAAATAAAAACAGAACAAAAAATAAAAGAAAAAAACATAAGGCTTCACTTTGCTCTATTTTTTTGTTGTTATCTTGAGACAGGGTTTCTCTGTGTAACAGCCTGGCTGTCCTGGAACTCATTTTGTAGACCACACTGGTCTCAGACTCACAGCCCTCTGCCTGCTTCTGCCTCTGGAGTGCTGAAATTAAAGGTGTGCACCATCACCTTCCTCTGCTTTGTGGTTTGGGGCCCGACTTCAGAAAGGATCAGAGACTTAAGACCACACACCCGAAGCAGCTAATGCTTGCCTGGCTCTGCGCAAGTGCTCAAGAGAGGATAGCTTTTATTTATGACATTTTCCATTGTTACTAGTGCTCTTGTAGGCTCTGTGAATTGCCCACTTTTCTTCTTTCCTCTTCTCTGAGTGACAATAAGCAAGGCTAATCCCCAGGTTCCGAGCTAGTAAGGCTCTCTGCCTCCAATCCCAGACAAAGCCAATAGGAATGGCTAATGTGTGTGGTGGAGCAGTCATGGAAAGGGCAAGTAACGAGTGAGTGTCGTTGAAGAATGATCAGTGTCTTGCATTCCATCCCTCTCGTATGATCTTACAACTTGGATGCCTTGGAAAAGCTGTACCTTCATCCTGAGTGGAAGATAGCATCTGCTAAACAGATGAGTCTTTTTTAAGAGTTGGCACCTTATAAAATTACTTGATTCTGGTTTGGGCAGTCAGAGCTGAATGGAAGGGGGCAGGCCAAAACCTGGCATACACTCTTCCAAAGTGAACCAACCTCCTCTCCCCCAGGATCCATCCACCTACATGTTGCGTCAACCAACCTGGCCCCTAACAAGTCATGCTCTCTCAAGCTACCTCCTTTTCTTTATTCACTCCTCCCCATGTCCTTCCAAAACCCTGCTCAGGCAGCAGCAGCTCCTCCCTGAGGCCTTTTCCAGCCTCCCAGAAACACAGGATTACCTCCCATAAGATCTTGCTTTACAAAGTACTTTACACGTTACTTGGCTGGAGCATCCAGTTCATTCCAGTTTTATGAAGCCTACTGTTTCGTGAGATCCTTGTAGCTGGAAATTGTTTAATGTTTTTATTAGCTCTTTAAGAATCTCATACAATGTGTTTTGATCACAGTCATCCCTCTCTCCCAACTTCTCCCAGATCTTCCCCCAACATCCCTACCTATCCAAGTCCCGTTTGTGTTGACCAACTGCTACTGGGAGTGGGGCTTGTCCCACAGTACGGCATTAGAGAAAACTGACTTCCCCTCTCCCAGAAGCAATCAAATGCAAATAGTTCCTCCAATAGTTCCTCCACTCGGGGTGTGACTTTGTGCCCACCTCCCCTCCTCCATGCTGGCGTATGATCTGGCTTGGGCCTCTAGAGATCACATGCTTGCTGTCTATCCTGTCTTAGTTAGGATTTCTATTGCTATGAAGAGATACCATGACCAGGACAACTTTTACAAAGGAAAACATTCAATTGTGATGATTCGCTTACACTTCATAAGTTCAGTCCATTATCATCATGGTGGAGAGCATGGCAGAAAGCAGGCAGACATGGTTCTGGCTACATCTTGATCAGAAGGCAACAGGAAGTAGACTGTAATATTGAGAGTACCTTGTGTAAATGGAGACTGTACGTTCATTTCCTGGTCTCTCAGACCTGAATAATCACACAAAACTATATTAGTTATAACACTGTTTGGTTAATGGCTCAGGCATATTCCTAGTTAGCTCTTATATCTTAAATTAAACCATTTATATTAATCTGTGTATCACCACGAGGCTGTGGCTTACTGGTAAGGTTCTGGCATCTTTCTCCTTAGGCAGCTACATGATGTCTACCTGACTCTGCCTTCTTTCTCCCTGCATTCAGTTTAGTTTTCCCACCTGCCTATATTCTGCACTGCCATACTGCCATAGGTCAAAGCAACTTCTTTCTCAACCAATGATAATAAAACATACTCATAGCATACAGAGGGGACTCCTACATCAAGCTTGGCCATAGGAGACCTCAAGGCCCACCCCCACTATGATGTACTTCCTCCAACAAAGCCATACCCACTCCAACAAAGCCATACCCCCTAATAGTGCTACTCCTTTTGGGGGTCCATTTTCTTTCAAACCATCACATTCCATTCCCTGGCCCCCAAAGGTTGGTTGTCATATCATAATGCAAAAAATTCATTCAGTCCAACTTCAAAGGTCATCATAGTCTATAACAATCTCAAACCTGCTTCAAAATTCAAAGTTTCTTTTGAGACTCATGACAATCTCTTAACTGTAATCCCCTGTAAAATTAAAGTAAAAAAAAAAAAAACAGATCACATACTTACAAGATATAATGATACAGGATATACATTGCCATTCCAAAATGTAGGGAAGGGTGCACAGTGATGAGATACTGTACCAAAGCAGGACTAAACACCAGCTAGGCAAACTCCAGACTCTGCATCTCCATACCTGATGTCAAAATGATTTTCAGATCTCCAACTCTGTTAGCTTTGTTGACTATAACACACTTCTTTCTCTTGGGTTGGTTCCACTCCCTGTTAGCAGCTCTCCTCGGAAGGTATCTCATGACTCTGTCATCTCTAACATCTTGGGGTCTCCAAGACAATCTAGCTTCATGAACTGTCATCTCTAGGCCTCCCTTTAGGGATACCCCTGACATGTGCCTGACCTCAGTAGTTTTCCTTAGACACAAGGGCAAATTCCATAGCCTGTTTCTTCTATCCCTAAGTCTAAAGCCAGAATCACCTGGCTGAAGCTGCCATGTTCTGCTGCTTGTTGAGGCTGGAACATGGTGTTCAATTACATCTTTACCAGCTTTCTGCTCTTCACTGCCTAAACTTGACTGTTCTGAACCTGGATCTTTAGACCAGGCTAGCCTCAAAGTCTACCATCCCAGCACTAAGATTAAAGTCATGCAGCACCACAACCGGCTCTACATTTTTCTTTAGTTGGAAATTAACTCTTCACAAGTTGGAAATTTAGCTGGGTGGGATCTTGCTCTGAGTTTACCATTCCCTTTATTCTATTTCTTAACCTATTTATCTCCTTGAACACAGGACGTAGCTCTATTCCATTCCCTTTTGTCAATCTGTACATTTTGTATTTTTATTTGCCCAGCTTGCTCCTTTTCATATAAATCTTTATTACAGTTACCACTAACAACCATACAACAGTCAATACTGGGCTATTTTGATATTTCCTTTGCCAATGGAATTAATCCAAAGTTCTTCACTTTAAGCCTCAGGTAGGCTCTTTGGACAAGGGCAAAACCCAGCCACATTCTTCATCAAAATATCACAAGAATGGTCTCTAGGCCACATATTAATATTATTCTTCTCAGAAACCTCTTGGTTCAGACCCCCACAATTCAAATAACTTTTATCACTTATGTCTCCCAGGTTCCTCCTACTATGTCCCATTATACAGTGCTTAAAGCATCTCACTGCTTTTATAATTTAAAGTGCCAAAGTACAAATTCTTCCAAACAAAAGCATAGACAGACCTTTATCAACAATCCCCTAATCCCTGGTACCAACTTCTGGGTGGTACAGGCAGACATCATGCTGACTACATCTTGACAGAAGGCAACAGGAAGTACAGTGTGACACTGGGAGTACCTTGAGCAAAAGACACCTCAAAGCCCAGCCCCACAGTGACACACTTCCTCCAACAAGGCCATCCCTATTCCAATAAAGCCACACCTCCAAATAGTGCCACTCCCCTTTGGGGGTCATTTTCTTTCAAACCGCCGCACTGTCACAATAATTTCTAAGTGTTTGATCAAGCTTATTAGAGTCTTGACTGATGAGACTTTGTCCAACCCCAGAAACAGCAGCCTCAGGTGCCAGAGCCAGGCACAGCGCTGGCCACCAGAGGGTCTCATTCATCTTTATATTTGCAGCTACTTCAGGAATGGGCATGTATGAAATTGCTGCAACTAAATTTTCAGAGCAACATTAGACCTTTTGTTTACTGCAGGAGATCTCTGAGACCTCCACAGCCAGAAGTAGGGACGATTTGTGAGAGGCAAGAAAGCAGTTCATCTCAACACAACCTTGAGAGTCTGCCCCCAAGTGTTTAGTTTAGGCATATTTAAGCACAGCACAATTTGGTGAAAACTTTCCTGCTTACAATTAACTTAATCCCACATGCATAACAAAGCATACATAAGACTCTTTGAGGAGCAAAGTACGCAAAACAAGGATTGGGCACGACTTCATTGAAACTCTTTGTAAATTACATGTGATGTCGTCCATAAAGATGGGTTCTGTAGTTTGACTGGGACAAATAAGTCTATGAGAAGTGTCTGAGGAAGTGTCAGATGTGGTCACCCTTCACACCAGGCTCGAAAGCACATCTTTCCCCAGTCTTCCCAGTGGATAGCAGGTGTAGTATCACTTCCCTTGAAGACATGACCCTGTATGCCAACATTCCAGGTTCCCTAGGGCTTATCTATGAGCACAAGGACTTCCGTACTTCCCGCATCTCCCACTTTTTATTTTCAAGGTATAGTAGAGGCTCAGGTGCTATCCATTACCTGCATGGCTACTCTCACTATTACAAGCAAGCAAAGCAGAACTATAAGAACAGACAGCAGAGGACCAAGGAAAGGAGAAAGTCATCTTAACCATAATGGCCATTCAGAGGTCATTTGAGAGACTTGGTTTATCTCTTTTTGCAGATCATTAATTTGATCATCAATACTATGAGAAAAATCTGAAAATCTGTCATATTAAAGCAACACATGCCAGGAAATTGTTGACAATTAAGATTGTGCTTGAGCAACAAATAATCTATAGTAGTAGCTCTTGTAATGAGTCTTTTTTCTGTCCCTCCAGCCAGCTCCCAAATAATGACACAGAGACTTATTAATTATAAAGCTTGACCTATAGCTTAGCCTTGTTCTTAACTCACTCTTACAATTTAATTAACCCATTTATATTACTCTACATCCTGTCATGTGCAGTCACCTCTCTTCCATCTCACACCTCCTGTTTCCTCTCCATGTTTTCTGGCTTCTCCCGTACACCTAGATTTCTCCTGCTCTTCCTTTCGCTCCTCGGAAATCCTTCCTATACCTCCTGCCTAGCTATTGGCCTTTCAGTTTTTAATTACATCAGTCACAGCAATACATCTTCCCAGTGTACAAATAGCCCACAACAAGCTCTGGTTTGTAAAACTGTGGTTCTCAACTCACCCATTTCTTGGTTGATTTCTGCTAACTTGTTTGCTGTAATGTTATCAGTGTCACTAAGCATGCAGGCCATTTTTGAAACCTCTTTTGCATTCTAGTAATCATGTCTGGTACTGGTAATTCTTTTTAAAAAAAGTGTAAAAAAAATCCTTAGCATGGCAAAACAGCATTGCACTGTCTTCTATAAGGGCATAACTTTTCTTCTCACTGGCATTTAGATTCTATAGTGACAAACTGAGAATTAGCATGTCATATAGTTAGTAACTATAACAGCATCATTTTGGGGTCAAGAGTATAGTGTCCTATTGTCTTTCCAAGGTCTTGACTAGATGAGTTAAAGTCTTAATGTGTCTCTAAGTCAGTGCTGTCCTGGTCAGGTGTACTGTAGCTGGAGCCATCTGGGACCTCATCTTTGGAAAGACATAAGCTTAACCTCGCTGATGTTAGAATAACTAAGTCATTTCCACGGATTAGTTTCTAGACATTTTCATTTAACAAATAATTTAGGATGTGTCTCCTTTAGAGATAAATGCTTTGGGCAGCCAAAGAAGCAATATTCTTTAAAGTACAAAACGTTAAAGTAAACATGGCTAAAAGTAGCGTAATATGTAGGGATTTAGGTGGGTGTATAAACTCCATTTTTAAAAATTTGCCGTTTAAGCATTAGACGGTGTCATTCCACAATAACTTGACCCTGTGGGTTGCAAGGGATTTCACTAACATGATTAATATTCCATATATTGCAAAATTCCTTAAAGCACTTGCTAATGTAAGCAGGACCATTGTCAGTTTTTAGCTGTAATGGAAATTCTAGAAAAGCAACAGTGTATAATAGATGATTGGTGGCAACCAAGATGTTGTTCACCCTGTGAACAGAGGTAACAATCATAGTAGAACGAGTATCAACTGTTCCGTGAGCATATTTTAAATTTCAAATTTCTGAGCTATCTGTTTGCCAAATGGCACTGGATTTTAATCCTTGAGGATTAATTACGCCAGCAGAGGGCAGTGGGGTGAAAGAAGAAAAAGATCAGGCCTGAATGATGTGTTGTGCTTGTTCATGGGGTAAAGAGAATTGTACTTGTAACGATTTTTCATTTTGATGAAGAAGTTCTTGAGATTTTTGAGTGGCCTTTAAGGAAAGTACTAGGGGCAAGGAAGCAGCCAGCGCATCATCTTGAGCATTAGCGGATGCTAACGGACCTGGCAAATTAGAGTGAGCAGGAATATGAATTATGAAAAAGGTTGAGTTCATTATCATATAGATTTCTGAAGGGAGAGAAATAATTACGAAATAACATTAGTAGTGGGCTTGGGTTTAAGTCTTGGAGCTTCTAATAGAGAAATGGTTTGGGCACAATCCACAGAATCAGTTACAATATTCAATACCTGAGAAACATCTAATAAAAGCTGATTGATTTCTGTGAGGGAAGGCAACTGAGGTGGGTACCATTTATTTTGTGGAGGCTGCAGAATCTGTATATAGAACATAAACTCCTTGTCCTCTTGAAGAAACATCTGTAACAGCATTAAATGGCATCTCTGTAGGATTCATTAGTTGTAATTGTAGGTAATACTCGTGGGGTATCTTCAAAAAATCTTAAAAGGAGATCTTTGGATTAATGATTATCTACAGATCCCGAGGAACATGATAATATTACCTGCCAATTATTATCAGGGTGAAACAAATAATCAACCTGTATTTTATTCAATGGCACAGTGATTTCTGTAGGCTCTGCACCAGCAAATTGTTTAAGAAGTGTCCTTCCCACCATTATCAAGTGTATCATTTCTTGTAAATAAGGAGTTGCAGATAATTATGACATGCATAAATTTCTATAATACCATTACCTTGTTGGTCTGTAATCCCAGTAGGTGATGAGGAGGAAGGATGAACAAGTCATAGATAAGGAAGTAAGAGACCACTTTTATCAGCAACATTATTTAATAAACTAATAACTCCCTTTGCTTTCGAGTTTTAGGTTTCTTATCAAGTATAACTGACAATCTCTGGAAAGTAACATAAAGAACACAGCCAAATCTTTAGTAGTGATAGTGATAAGGACGTACCAAAGTGATATGGCTTAAACGTTTTTGTAAGTAACCAAGGGAAAATTGTTTGGGAAGTTCTAAGCAGAGGATGATGGAGAACTTGTTGTGTAATAACATCCTAAATAATTGTAAAGGGATTGCTTTTCATTTTATCTGGAACCAGGTTTAAATTGTGTTCTCTTTGCATTTGCCATGGAAGTTAGGCACTCATTTGAGGCCTAATTAGATGAGCTGGAGAGCGAAGTGTCATCCACTTAATGAATGGACAATAGCTTAGGAAATCCCTTTTGATGAAACTTCCACTGATATCAGGTCATTTGTTGGCTGTTGGCGTAGGAAGAGAAAATGCAATCCATTCCTTATTATGATGTAAAGGAATAGGGAAAAGGTCATCTTTTAAGGCAAATGTAACCCTGAATGTCCTTGAGGGATCACAGTAGGAGCCAGGGCCCTTGCTGGAGGGACCCACTGTTTTCATAGTAGCATTTATGTCCCTGATATCATGTAACTTTAAAAATTTATTCTTCTCCTTTTATGAATTACAAAACATAGGGGAATTCCAGGTACTGACTAAAGGGTCTATGAACTGGCTGTAATTGTTCCTGCTCTAGAAGTTGGGCCTGTTTTAATTTTTCCCCATGAAGGGGCCATTGATCAGTCCACACTGGGTCATCAGAGACCCATTGTATTTTTAAAGGCGGTATGGATGGCCCTTGATCAATGACCCCAATTAGGGGGTGTACTTCCTTGTATTATAATTATCAGATGATTTGTTGTAGCATTGGTAAGCACTGCTTGCATTTGTTACAATATATCACTTCCCCACAGATTATATGAGCGTCCTGGGACAATGTGAGGCTGCACAGTGCCAGAGGAAGAATCTTCGTCAGTCCGATTTAAGACAGTACTTTTTAAAGAGTCCCGTTGGCGGCCAACACCTTGTACAGGTGGGCCTCTAGACCTTGGCAATGTGGGGTCTCTGTTCTTGATAATAACGGAATGACCTGCGCCAGTAACTAAAATACTTTTAATGGAATCGTTTTCCATGTATAAGGTCAACATATGATGTCTATCCTCAGAGAAATGTCTTGTCCTTAAAGCAAAGGGATTTAATCCCATTGCACTAGCTCTGAATGACTGGATACTTTTTTACCGGTTCATCTTTGATTGTCTGGGTCAATTTTACCCTTGATTCTTGGGCTTGGGATTGCCCCCTGGGGAGTTTAAAGGCTTACCATCCTTGTCAAATTTGAATTGACTGGATTACTAGATTTTTTTTTTGCACTAATTTTTTCTGTGTCCTTTATTTCCTCATTCAAAGCAAGGTCCCCTTTGAGCAGTTTTGTGGATAGCCGCTGCAGTGACTGATGCAGTGTGAGACGGCTGCCAGCATCCCGAGTGACTGTCACCCACTTAGAAAAGTCACCATATCTTACTGGTGCTGCAGCAGCTCTGCACCCTCTGGGGGCTCTAGCAAACTTGAGCTGCCTGAATCAGGATATCTGCCACTTCCCCATGAGTTACTTCCTATTCTACAGCCTCTTAACATGAACAGGAAACTCACACCAAGGCTCACTGACCTCTGTTTTAGTGGCCAGCAAGTCCGCAGTTTCTCCATGATCAGGACCAATTCTCTGGGCTTGCAGTGCACAAAGTGTGCTGGGTCAAAACACTGGGCCAAGCCATTCGTCTGTAGTAGAGCATCGCTATATTGCCCCCCTCCTCAAAGCATGTAGAATTGATAGGGACATTATTGCTATGGTTCCCTTCTGCCTGTTCATCACATTCTTCATACTATCTTGCTTTCCATATCAAGTATTGTCCTGGGTGGAAGCTTCACATACTTGCTTATTGTCCCCAGGAGTAACAATATCCCTGCGTAAATTCTCCCATGTTGTATCAGTAAATAGAGCATGCACGCCATTGGCAGCAACAGATTTTCTGAAATTCTTTGAGAACTCAAACGTAAATTGGTACTGTTGACACATATTTTGGTCCTGAGGATTTAAAATCATAGGCATCGTAAGAGCTGGCGCAGTGAGAGGTCCGGTCCAGTCAGTTCCCGTTGATTATGTCCCTTATCTTGTATAAGTAGTCTCTGGGAGTGAGGCAGCATGGACTGGATTTCTGAATCAGATTGATGAGAATGAATATTTGCTGTGCATGATTATAAAATTGAGGTGTTTGAAAGGGGAGGCGGCACACGTATCTAAATCAGTCTCATTAAATGTAGGCACGGCACCCCCTGCTGAGATGTGTCCAGAGGATCTTCCTCCTTATAGTCCCCTTGGAAGGGATCCAGGCAGTACATCACTGCAGTCAAGACCACGCAATAATATGGCAGAAATTTTGTTCCCCTCCTCGTGGGTTCTTTTCACATTAGCTCCTATGCCTCTCCAGCTGGCAACATCCATGCTTCCTGGTTCAGGAAACCAAGAATTTTACAGTCACTTGTGTAAGTCTTTGACTATTTTGCTAAAAGACATCTCAATAAGGAGACGAACCCATATTATTTCATTCTCTCTTACAGTTGAAACTCCTTGGGTGAGAGGACTGAATTCCTACCGTCCACTTCTATTTAGAGAAAATTTTTCTTACCTTCTCCATGTTGTAGGGTCTCTGCACTTTACCTCCAGGGGAGTGGTGATCCGTGGGAGGCAGAAAGTCAGTTCTATTCAACATGAATAAGTAGCCAGTGTTGGTCCAAACCTTGGGAATCTGACCCCAAGTGGTTTATTTTAAGCCATATTTAAGCACAGCACAATTTGATAAAATTTTCTTGGTGATAATTAACTCAATACAGTGTTCACAAAAAAAAAACATATATAGATCTTCTTGAGAAATAAAGTTAAATAAAGAACAGATGTGACTACTCTAAACTCTTTGTAAAGCCCATGTGACACCTTCCATAAAGAGGGATTCGATAGATTGAAAAAAAACAAGCAAATAACAATACTAACATTTATGATGAGGGTCTGGGAGTGGGTGTGATCTCCAGCCCCACAGACAGCACAAAGGACAGTGGGTCAGAATGTGTACTCACCCCCAGCCTTCTGGGAAGTCGCAGGTGTAGCATTCCTTCCCTCGAAGGAACAACACTTATGAGAAATGTCTCTCTGTATGCTGTGAATATGTCTTTTTAAATTCATTTTTGAATTTCATTTTACATTCCATCCACAGTTCTCCTAACCCCCTCCCAACCTCCCTGCCTACCTCCTGCCCACTCTCCACTCAGTCCTCCCAGTGGGTAAGGGTTCCCAAGAGAAGTCAACAAAGTCTGGCATATTAAGTTGGGGCAGAATCAGCTCCCCCACATACACACACATACAATAAGGCTGAGCATGGTATCCCACCATATGGAATGGGCTCCAATAAGCCAGCTCATGCGCCAGGGATAGATCCTGGTCCTACTGCCAGGTGCCTCACAGGTAATCCAAGCTTTGCTACTGCCTCCCACATGTGGAGGCCTAATTCAGTCCGTGGAAGTTCCACAGCTGTTGGTCTGGAGTTCCTGAGTTTCCATGAGCATGGTTCAGCTCTCTCTGTAGATTTCTTCATCATGACCTTGATCTGCCATTGGTTAGTAAAGAAACTGATTTGGCCAATAGCCACACATAATAGAGTCAGGTAGAATACAGGGAGAAAAAGAGTGGAGTCAGAGAGATGCCAGCAACTGCCAGAGAATCACGATTTGAGGTAGCAAGTCACAAACCTCATGGTAAAATAAAGAATAATAGAAATGGGTTAATTTAAGTTGTAAGAGCTAGTTAGTAATAAGCCTGAGATAATAGGCCAACAGTTCGTAATTAATATTAAGTTTCAGAGTGGTTATTTGGAAACTGGTGGGCAGAGGAGAAGCCACCAGTTACACAGCCCTGTGTGCCAACGTTCCAGGCTCCCCAAGAGCTTATCTGTGGGCACAAGGATCCCGTGCTGCCTCTAGTTTACTTAGAATTGGAATAGATGTTTTTGACTGTTTTTTTCTTAATCTGTTTTTTAAAATAAGAAATAAAAAACTGTATTTTAAAAACCTATTTCCTAGGAGTAAGGGGAAGAGGGTAGACAATATTTCCTGGTATATTTGAGCATCAATGTTCCAGTGAATCTTAGAATCTCAGGGTTACAAAGATCAGTGGAATCATAGTCTTGCACCATGGGAGCAGAGGAAATCTATAAATGTGTTATAGATTTCTAGGTTCCCAGGTGTGCTGGTTTGGATGAGAGTGGGCTCCGTGGTCTCCATCTCCATATATCTGAACACTTGGTCCTCGGTTGGTGAAACTGTTTGGAAAGGATTAGAAGACATAGTTGTTGGAAGAGGTTTGTCACTGGGGGTAGAAACTGAGGTTTCAAAACCCCCAAACATTTCCAGTTTCTCTCCCCTCTTCCCTCCCTCCTTCCCTCTCTCTACCGTATCTGATCTGCTTGCAGATCACATGTGAGCTTTGAGCTTCTGCTCCAGTGCCACGCTCCCACCATGGCGGCCATGTGCTCCAGTCCTCTGGAACTCTGAACTCCCAATTAAATGCCTTATTGTATAAATTGATTTGGTCATGGTGCCTTGTAACCACAGTAGAAGAGTAACTAATCTTTCCTAGACCTCTAGGATCTTTCTTAAAAGACTGAAGTCTTGCAGTCAGATCAAGTTAGACTAAATACCTAGAGAGCTCTCGGGAGACCTTCAATGTGTTGACTTCTGCTTTTCCATGTCCCTGCCTCAGAGGGCTTTTCCTGACTTCTTACCCTCAATGCGCCCTGGCCGATGACACTTTCTTTTGCTTTATGTCTGTTAATTTGTTAGAACTGCTCATTACCTAGCATGTGATGGGCTTTTCCCCTTGTTTGCTTGCTGTCCATCTCCCATATACATTATATTAAAGTCAAGAACCTTAGCTGTTCACTGTTAAAACATTCTTAAAACAGTCCTGGCATATTACGAGAGCTAAAAACAGTTATCCGTTCATTTCACGAATACTTATTGCATACTCACTTCCTGTTGGTCTCTTGGAGATGATCCCGTCTCGGGATGGGAGAAAGGTCTCAGTTTGAAGGCCAAACACAATTGGTGGTAGATAAGTGGAGCACCGTGTTGAGAAGCATTTTCAGAGATCTGAGAATCCAAAGTGCACGCAGGAAAGTGATTAACAATGTCAGGCGTGAAGCAACAAAGGAGGGAAGAAGCCACGACTCCTGGGGCTCCTTGAGCTCCAAAAAGAGATGGGGTACCTGTAGTTCATACAGCATAGGAAACCCCATCATTCTCTCTGTGTCTTTTGTGGATGGAAGGCCATTAATAGGAAACCAGAAAATGGAGCCTACTCCCAATTAAGGACTCTTCATGAGCATGTTCCAGGAATCCCTAACTGCCAGTCTTAAAACGTTGCATATCACAGAGCCAAGTACCCTATGACCCAAACCTTTGACATCAACCAGGGCTGTCCATATTTGCATGACCAGGATTTGCATAGACCTTATTTGCATGCCAGAGATCGCAAAACTGGAAATTATGTGTGTGGCAACTCATGTTAACCTCCTAGACTGTACGCTGGCCAATCTGAGCTGTATTCCCTTTCATGTCGTGAATGACATGCTAGGCGATTGCGCACAAGGCACTCATCCTAGCAGAAAGTGCTCTCCTAAAATGGACACCCTGCCCTCCAACATTATGTGATAGGCAGGACTCTAATTGTACCTCAGACTGCTGCCCTCTGGCAGTGTACTCAAAAAACTATTTTCCCTATTTTATTGTGGATGGTAAAATCATTCCCCACCTGTGTCTGTCAAACCCTTGCCTGATCATAGGCTGTGTACACCTGTTCACTGTGCAGTCAGTCTCACTATGGTAGACCCTGAGCTGGAGGGTACTCTGTACAACCTCCCCCTCCCCCATTCATCTTCAGGTTCTTCCTCTTTCCTGGGCCTTTGAAGGGGTTAAAAAGATGCAGAAGTCCCTGGCCCTGAACCAAGCCTGGAACCCAATTCTGTCTGAACTCACAAACCAGTTATTTTTAAAAAGTCCAAAGAGAAAAGGAAGAAAGAAAAGGAAAAAAAAAAAAACCCTGACTGCTCCAGTCACTGTACCAGCCAGCGGAGAGAATAGAGATTTGAAAGGAACAAAGGGTTTCCTCAAACATGCAGATCAAGGGCTTGGCTTAGGTGGTAACCAGTAACCTACCACCGTGTGCTTTCTGACAGAACCTTCAGAATGGCGGCCTCTGTTCCTGCCCCACTCCTGGCAGGGGGATGGGGAACCCAGGGACACTCTCCTCCCATGCCCTGAGGGCAGCAGCTTATAATCAGACTCTGAGCGCTGCAAAGTTCCTGTCGCCGAGGCACGTGAAACTCCAATCCAGCCTTAAGGACGTTGTCATCTGCCTATGAAGCATGAGCGTCAGCTCCCCAGTTCTTCCTGTTGCCATCCTTACCCTTCACCCTTGGCGTTGGGTTTTGTCTTAGGACAGCCTTCAGAGCCTGGGAACAGGTGAACTGGAGGTCTAAGATGGAGCGAACAGGAAGAAGGGATCTACCTGACGTTCTTGGACACAGGAGTCTGGGGCTCTAAAGGTGTCTCAAGCCAAGTACAGGATACTTTGTTTAAAAGTAGAGCTATGACCCCGAGCCATGGAGACTTCTGGGCCCGGGCTGCAGCTCAGTGCCGTGTCGGGGTTCATGGCCCTACCATAGCCCAGGACTGGGATGTTGTCCAGGGTTCTTGTTTTCATGGAAGACAGTGCAGAAACCCAGGTTTGGACCGAAACCTGACCATGTTGGTTTCCGAAGGTCAGGAGGCCGCCATAACTGCGCAGATCTGAGTACTCTGCGTAGAAACCCAAGGCCAAGGTAGCACCCAGGCCGAGCTGCAGCCTGGGGCCATGTCTGGGTCTGTGGCCCTGCTGCAGCCACGGTTTGTGTTGATATCCATGGCTCCTGGTACCACCAAAGGCCAGGCACATGCCAGAGATCTGGGCTGCCACCTGGGGTAACGCTGTTGTCTGAGGGTCACCTTGCAGCTGGAACAATGCAGATCTGAGCGGCCTGTGCAACCTCCTGGGGCCATAGGGACATTCAGTCCAGAGATGTTACCCACAACCATGTGTAGGTCCAGAGTTCTAGGGCAACCTGGCCCTATGGTGATGTTCATGATCCACGTTGCCACCGAAGACCACAAGAACATCCCCCTCTGCCTCTAGACCACTGCCTGTAGCCATTTTGGAGTCTGAAGGACATGTTGATGCTGAATCATGCCAACCTCAGTGGTTTGCGCTGCTACCTATGACCATGGCCATGTCTGTATCTGTGGCCCCACTACCAGGGCCTGCATTGATGTCCAAGGCTCTGGTTACCACCAAAGGCAGTGCAGATGCCCAGGCTGACACCTGAGGCCATCCTGGTGTCCTCAATCAGCATGGCCAGCACTGCCACCCAGGGCCATATTGACACCCATACGTGAGCTGTGGCTTGGGGCCAGTTCTGGGTTTGGGGCCATTTCTGAGTTGGTGGCCCTGCCACAGCCAGAGTCTGTGTTGAGGTCTGTGGCTCCCATTGCCATTGGGCCAAATGACGGCCTGAGATCTGAACCGCCACCTGGGGCTAGGTTGGAGACCAGGGACCACACTGCTGCTGGCCACATCTGGATCTGAGAGGCCTGCGCTGCCCCCTGGGGCATCCAGCTCCAAACTGCTGCCAATGACCACTTCTGGGTCTGTGGTCCTGCAACAGTTGGGATATGTGTAGATGTCTGTTGCCCGTGTTACCACAGGGGCCCATGGAAAACATGTGTCGAAGTTTGAGGGCTCTGCTGAGCGAGCCCCACCCCTCACTGGCCCAGAGTGACCTACCGTTTCCCCCCAACACACACACAGGAGAGCCTGCCCTGAAACTCCCCAGACCCTGAAGATCCCTGCTTGGGAAAGCTGGTCCTACTCCTAATAAGAGAACTGGCTCTCCACATTTGGGAACTCTCGTCCCACTCCTCACCATGGGCCTGGGAGAGCCAGTTCCACCCCTCAAATTAGAGGAGTGGTCCTAGCAGCTTGAACTGACCACCTCAGCTACCACCCAGGCACACATCTGTAACAGGGGAGTGATTGTTCGTTTCCGGACCACTAAGACCCAAATAACCACACAGAAACTGTATTAATTACGACACTGTTTGGCCAATAGCTTAGGCATATTTCTAGCTAATTCTTGTATCTTAAATTAACCTATTTCTACTAATCTGTGTATCACCATGTGGCTGTGGCCTTCTGGTAAGGTTCCAGGGCGGCTGCCTCCTGCAACCCAGGGCAGCGGCAGGATATTGAAGATGAAAGTCGGTGGGGGTCCAGTATTGATGATGTACCGAAGTCAGAGACCTTGAACCTGACCAACCGCTCATCACAAGATAACCATTCACATGTAAAGCTGTTCGGACAGAAGGATCTAATTCATGACACACAGCAGCTCTCAGTGCCGCTAAGATGAATGAAGGGGAGGATGGAGAGGTAGGAAAGGCAGAGGCCTTAATTCTTTTTTAGCTTTTCTTGGGGTGGGGGGCACTACCAGAGTGAGTGGTGGATATGGAGGAACTAGGAGATGAATGGGACTGGGGTGCATTGTGCAAAATTCCCCCCACCCCAAAAATCAATAAAAATGGAAAAAGAAAGAAAAGAGCAGAGCTATGGCAATAATCATAATATCGTTAGGAATGTCAGTAGGGAGCACTTACAATAGGGAGCACTTACAATAGGGAGCACTTACAATAGGGAACACTTACAATAGGGAGTACTTACAATGAACAGGAACCCTGTGGAGCACTTTGTGTTGCTCATCCTTACCAGGGTTTCAGGACTATTGTCACCTCTGTGGGACAGATGAGAAAACAGGTTCAGAGAAGAGCAGAAGCCTACAGGACTTCACACTGTGAGCCAATGTGGTCAGGACACCGGCCAGAGAAGCTTGACTCTGGAATTCTCTGCCTATCCTAAGACACACTAAAAGTGCTAACACTTCAGAGTCAGAGGGAACTGACTCACCGCAGGACAGAGGAACAAGTACATGCTCACATTCCTCCCTTGTGCCCCAGCTTCCTCATTTTCCTCAATGGTTTCCGTTTGAAAAGTATAGACCTCAAAGATATTGTCTCAGCCAAGCCCAGAGAAACAACGCATCTCCTTTCCCAAGAGGGAGGGAGCCCGTGAAGCCAGAGCATTTCCCTTTCTCTGGGCCAAACTTGGTTTCCTCAGCCAGGCCTTCCCTTGGCTCTCTTCCGAAAGCCGTCAGCGATCTGCCAATCTGTTGCTATTAAACGCTCAGTCTCTTAATTCTTGCCAAAAGCTGCCCCTGATTCTGACTCTGGCTATATCGCTTGCCCAGGTATCTACATAGTCTGTTCCTTGGTCTATTTGCTTCAGCTCTAGGCTTCATCAGAACAGCAACCTTGTCCCTTTCAAACAAAGCAACAAAGTCTCCTCATACCCTTCATGAGTTCCTACCCTCAATGGAACGGGAGCTAAACTGCTGGTCCTGGCGCTGCTCCATCCTCTCCGCCTCCCTTACAACAGGACTCAAGACAAACCAGATTTTCTACTCCAAGCTCTTGTTCCTCTCCTGGCTTCTTCCTTCTTTTCCCTGCGCTCAAAAACCACTCCTTCCCCGTGGTCTTTTTGGATCTCATCTCTAGCACCTCCCTCCACGAACACCACGCCAGTATGTGGTCCACATCAATGCATTTCTAGCATGTTGCCTCTGCCAGTTTGCTTTTGCAAACTAGAAAACTCCAAGGTCTCATTCCTCTATAGAAACATCAAACTAACATGCTCAGGAGCAGGATGAATAGATGCTAAAGCTCTGGATGACAGCCTAAGGTTTATAACAACCAAGTATACATCCAGTTAAGGAACGGCCGCTTTCGAAACAGTAGGAGAAGTTCTCTGGCCTCTGTTGGGCTCCGCTCCAATGTTTCCCTAGTGCAGCTGCGGTATTGGTAGATGAGGTAGCTGTCCTGCTCCTGGTTTTCTTCCTGCAGACCTTACTCACAACACGGCATGCTGCGATGCCACTTGCATGTTGCTCTCTGTTTATTTTGACTCTGATCTCTCTCAAGCAGAGACTACCCACGGGCTCTGTTAAAGAAATAGGAGCAGGACACACAATAGATCACAGATGCTCGTGGCCAGACTGTGGAAGGCATACAGAATAAGCCATCTGTGACCCTGGGCAGAAGCCGGGGACTCCAGTGTTACTCTGAACAGTATGAAATGCACATGTATGTTCAGAACCAAAGCTTCCATGAAGTTCCGTGCAACATGGGCGACCACTACCTGAAACTTCAGATTTGTTCCAATTTGGTTTGGACGGAGGGTTCGTTGTTACGCATTCAGCAACCTTTTGCTGTTGCCAGATTTTTCCCGCCTCCCTCCCACATTCAGCTGTAAGATCTCACATGGGGTGAAGCTTACAGTTTAAGAAGTCGGGGTATGTGTAATCCCTGTGAAAGTCAGGAAGAAATAGCTGCAATCTGACAGGTCATAGAACTACAGCTGTTTATAAGTATGAGTAGAACATACTTTAAATGTCCATCAACAGGTGAGATCAGGTATGTTCAAGGCAGGGTGGCTCACCTACATGGCTACCTAAATAAGACCTGGGCACGGATGTCACCAATAGATATGCTAACGTGGAAGACAGAGTGATCACAAAACCTCAGCCTTAGACAAAGAACTGCCTGCAACTAAGGAACGTTGAGAGTGGGAGAAGTAGTCTTCCTCGGGAAGGGGCACAGCATTGTTTATCCAAGACCAATGATCAGCCCTGAAAACATGTATGTACATGTACATATATGTGTGTGTGTGTATAAAATTATACAGACTGATCAGATTGCATTTATATATTAAGATATGTATATGTGTGCATATGCATATATATGTAACAGTAATTAAAGAAAAGGGCAAGAATTTGAAAGAGAGCAAGGGGGTAGAGAGAGGGGGTTTAGAGGGAAGAAAGGGAAGGTAAATGATATAATTATACTATAATCTTAAAAAAAATAATAAATATTT